AGCTTAGGAGCCCTGGGTGGAGGTGCTGTTTGCAAGGGAGGGGCACCCACTCTCCCAGGTAGGGAGCTGCACAGGTTACTTCTCAAACACAGCCCTGTCCAGTGTAAAAGTTCCACCCAATTCACAGGCTGCAGCGCTGTTCCCAGCAGCCACCAGGAACAGCAAATGAAAAAGGCAGCGCCTCACAGCACAGCGTTTCTGAAACTACTGCCTCGTTAACTTCTTCCTGCCGAGTGAGAGTGCTCACAGGGAAGCGTTCTGCTTCCACCTCTGGCTGACAACTGCTCACACTTCAGAAGGCTTCCCTGGGAAACACTGGAGAACGTGGACTTTAAGCAATTAGAACCCCCACTAACTGGAAGCTCCTGACTCAGTACTCTACTTTTTTGGGGGGGAAAAAAGAAAAAAAAGGAGCAAATGCAGGAAAACACATGCTTTAATTAACGTAAAAAATACTTGTAGCGCGTGGCTCTGACTTAGTGCAGATTCTACCCAATCTTCTCCAGGGCGCTGTTCAGAAGGATGACCCAGGCATTATGGGTGCATTTTTATGGTGGAATATCAGCTGGCAATATACATATATATTTTTAAATGTGAACTTATGCTCTTGCTAACAGGGTTTTCTGGTTAATCTTTAACCAAAATGAAAATTTAATTTAGTAGGACAGCTCCTCCCCAAGGCATCCTGATTAACGGAGGGTTTATTGTATGGAACAGAAATGTGATTTCCAGTTAAAGGCAGGCTTCAAAATAAAAGCTTGAGTAAAATCCTCTTCGTTTGTCTAAAGTTATGAAGCTGCCTTAGAATTTTCCCCATCTAAAATCAATTCTGCCCTGCTACCAATAATCAAAACCAATGTAAAGTGGGGTCATTTCTGTATTTCTTCAAGTTTTGGTTACGATGGATACGATCGCTGCAGTGAGTGATCCCCGACCAAGCGCAGGTGAAGACGGGCCGTGTCTGAGCACACCTGCTTTCCTCTTCACCCTTCATCGCACTGGCTCTATGGTGTTTGGGGTGTGTTTAAACTTCACCTCTGTGTTTGTGGTTTAAAACAACCTAACCCTGTCAGCCATGGAGGGATGGATTTCATGGGTTCTAGCCTGTTCTTTTCGAATCTCAAGAGGTAATGAGATGGTACTTAGGTCTTTGGGTAAGAACTCATTATGCCGCCATAAGACTCAAGTTCCTGTCCTTATCCACATTATGCTGCTGTAGGTAAAATGCCATACTGACACCTGCAAGTCCACCACTATTTGGTGTGGAATCCTCATCGCGTGCTCACAAAGACCTCTTTTGGGGCCTCTCCGTGGGTGCTCGCAGTCCCCCGCTCCCCTTGGCAGCTCAGGACGGTGTGGCGTTTGGGGCCATCATGAGATTTATGAAGTGCCTGCTCCGGGCTGGGTCTGCAGGCAAAAGAGCTGGAGCCGCAGAGAGATGTCAGGCTTGGACCCTGCCCCCAGGGCGTGTCTGTCACCCGCAGGTGGATGGCTCAGTTAGGGAGCAACAGGCTCCTTACTCTGATGAAACAGGTAGAGCACCAACAGCTGCCTTGTGCGGTGTCGCCTGCGGCAGGAGCTGTGCTTGCTGGGTTCTGTGCTCCTGGAGAGCATTCTCCCTGTAGTAAGTCGGCAATAAATATTCCGTAAATTTAACTGCACGTACAAAACCAGACCCTTCCAAACCCATGAACCCCACTTCTACATTTCTGATACAGGCACCATTGTCTTTGCAGCTACCCACATCTAAACCATGAGGTTATATTTGATGCCCGTTCTCCTTTGCCCTTCACATCCAATCAGTTGTCAATTCCTTGTGAGCCTTTTGTCTCAATTTCTCCTAAACCAGCGGTTCCCAACCTGTGGGTCGAGACCCCTTTGGGGGTCGAACGACCCTTTCACAGGGGTCGCCTAAGACCATCGGAAAACACATATATAATTACATATTGTTTTTGTGATTAATCACTATGCTTTAATTATGTTCAATTTGTAACAATGAAAATACATCCTGCATATCAGATATTTACATTACGATTCATAACAGTAGCAAAATTACAGTTATGAAGTAGCAACGAAAATAATTTTATGGTTGGGTCACAACATGAGGAACTGTATTAAAGGGTCGCGGCGTTAGGAGGGTTGAGAATCACTGTTTCCACTCTAGTTTGGGTTACTACCTACGCCAGTGGTTCTCAACCTTGGCTGCACATTAGAATCACCTGGGAATCTCTTTAAAATCCTGATTTCTGGGCCTCATCCTCCGGAAATTCTGTTTCTTTGTTATGGGGTGGGGCCACATCATTAGTAACAAAGAAACAGAATTTCCGGAGGATGAGGCCCAGAAATCAGGATTTTAAAAAGATTTCCAGGTGATTCTAATGTGCAGCCAAGGTTGAGAACCACTGACCTAAGTGATGCAAGCTTCCAATGGCTCTTTCTCCCTCCCGGCTTTCTTTGGTGCGCGCACACAGTCAGCTCTCCTGCTGCCAAGCCCGGAAGTATCTCCTCAGGATCCTCTCCCAGCATCCTCTGCTCCATTTAGGCAAGTGGAGCATTCCCTATGTCCATGGAGTCCTCTCACATCCCCCTCTCTGTCCTCCTTAGTGGTCTAAGATCTCTCCACTGGGAATTTCCTCCTGTCTGCCTCTACATTTTAAAACCCCGTAGTCTGTAGTATTCAGGAGTTTGCGTGGCAAGATGAGAAAAGTGTGTCTGGCTGCCTTAAGCAGAAAAAACAGAAATGTACTGGCAGGATATCAAGCAGCCTGCTGGGGTCTGGAAAAGCTGGGAAGGGGCGGGGGAACCAAGCCTGGTAAGGGTCTCCGAAGGAAAGTTCTGGACCCTTCCAGCCAGAGAAAACTGAGTCTTGCCCTCCCTCCCCTTCTCCACTCTCTCCAGTTTCCATGTCCTGAGAGGGAAGGTACTATTGGCCAACCCCAGGCCATTCCCTCTCAAGGGGCTTCTGAGAAAGGAGGGGTGGAGGACTCTGCCTGCTGCCAAGGGCAGGCAGGGGTCCCCCTAAATAGGGAGGGGCTGGAAGCAGGGCAGCCATGTTATCATAACTTCCCACTGTCGTCTCTCAAGGTCCATTTCTAATGCCACCACCTAAACCTAAGCCCCTTCTGATTTTCAGAGCATGTTTTGTTTGGTACCTTTCATAGTTAGCTTTATGTTATAGTTATTGTGGATGGCTCTGTTCCTTCCTCCAAGATTAAAAACTAATTTATCTTTATTTCTTCTGAATTGATTCTTAAGCCTTCCAAATAGAAATACACTCAGTATGTTTAATTGAATGGAGGGTAAGGTGGGAGGTCATGGAACAGCTCATGCGTTTACCATGTGCCAAACCATGATCCCATTTAGTCTTCACAACTCTGCATTTTGCTGTCAGAGGCCCAGGAGGCGGCGTGCCTGCAGCCTTCTCAGGGGGGCTCACAGCGCCCTCGACCTCACCTTGTGTTTTCCATGAGTCCAAGGAGAGGAGAGAGGGGGCTTGAATGGAACTGTGAAGGAAGAGGAAGGGACAGGAGGCAGAAATGAGTGCGACTACTAGTAAGTGGGGCACAGGGGGAGAGCAGAGTGACTGGAGCTTGGAGCTTACGTGGGGGCAGGGGAGGCAGAGAGACAGCGCAGGGTGCAGGGCTGAGTTCCAGAGGCCTTTGGAAGATAATCTTAGGATTTAATGCTGATGTGATTTTGGGGGAACGGGTTATGCTTTTTATCCTTTCAATACTTTATTACTGAAGACATTTTAATGGTAAAACAAACATGGACATACTAATGGAATAGAATGAAGAAACATACATTTTTATTTTTTTAAATACATTTATTGATTTCAGAGAGGAAGGGAGAGGGAGCGAGAGATAGAAACATCAAAGATGAGATGCCTCCTGCATGCCCCCTATTGGGGATCGAGCCCCCAACCTGGGTATGTGCCCTTGACTGGAATCGAACCTGGGACCCTTCAGTCTGCAGGCCGACACTCTATCCACTGAGCCAAACCGGCTAGGGCAAGCAACATACATTTTTTAGATCAAAAATCATCTTCGCCTGGACCCTGTGAATGGGACCTTATTTGGAAAAGGGGTCTCTGTGGAGGTTACAAAGCCCCCTGGGGATGAGATCGTTCTGGGTTTGGGGGCGCCCTAAAGGCAGCGTGTCCTTATAAGAGAGACAGGGAGCGCACACACAGGGGACTGGGCCCCGTGAAGACAGAGGCAGAGATGGGGGTGATGCTGATATACGCCAAGGAGCCCCTGGAGCCCCAGGAGCTGGAGGAGGCTGGAAAGATGGTTCCCTAGAGCCTTTGAAGAGAGCGTGGGCCTGCTGGCACTGAGCTCAGACCTTGCAGCCGCTGGCCTCCAGAACTCATGTCTGTTTTAAGTCCTGCGGGTGGAGGTGACTTGTTAAGGTGGCCCCAGGAAATGAATATAGGCCTCTTAGGGCCCAGTTCCTCACCTTCCTGAAGTGCTGCTCAAGCCTTCTGCTGTCAGACACCCTGCAGAACTGTGTGGGTGGCGGGGAGGTACAAGCTAGAAGGAATTTTTAGAAAGTTCAGGATGATGCTGATATCCAGTATGAATTTGAGGGATGGAAGGGAGTGAGTAAGCTGACCAGGTGGAAGGCAGTGGGTACCAGAGCTTGGAGTCGAGTATGTGAGGTTCTGATTCCAGCACCTTCACTTACTGTGTCAGTTTTTTTTTTTTCATGTGTAAAATGAGGGCAATACTATTGTGTGTGTTGCAGATGATATATGTAAAAAATTCAAGAGAGGTACATTATAAGCAATTACGTGAAAATTAGGGTGTGGCATTGGAGATGGAAAAGAGGCGCAAAGAGATGTTTACTGACCACTGAGTCAGAATCATAGAGATTTAGGTTGGGAGGGACCAGGGTCACCTAGAGCCCTGTCTGTCCTCACCGCACTGGGGTGAGCTTGGAGCGTGGGAGGAAGAAGGCAATTGTAATGAGGTTTCTCCCAGGAGCGGAGCTGCCTGGTGGACTCTTGCCCAAGCCTGAGACTCTGGGAGGAGGAACTAGTTTGGGAAGGAGATTAAGTCGCATTCTGAATGCGGTGAGTTTGAAGAGAAGATGAGTCAGGCAGAGGGACAGCAGGTAAGCTGGGAGCTCTCCAAGGCTACTGACCGGGGAGGTAATAACTGAACACCCAGACTAGAAGCAGACAGAATGTGATGCACTCTCTTAAAAAAAAAGATCAGAATGAAGACAAAGGGCAGTCTGCTTTGGGATATTGCTGTACGAGGTTGGGAGGACAACCCACCTTACAAAAAAACAGAGACAGGCGGGTCAGAAACGTCGATAAGTGGGAGAATGACCAAGTTTCAGGAAATACAGAAATGCCGCGTGCTTCAGGAAACGTCGTAGGACAAAGATTGAGAAAGAGACATTGGGTTTTAGATAGAAAATGTTTTTGGCGACTTTACAAAGAATCAGAGAAGGAAAAAGAGTTCAAGAACAATGAGTCAGTGAAAGTTTACAAAGCAGACAAGTTAGAAACTGGGGCCAGGTTGTTACACCTATTTTGAATGAACTAATTTAAAATTTGGGCCAAACCAGTGACTATACTCTGCTTTCCTTCTCAGTAGGTAAGGTTTTCACAAAAGGATGGGCTGACGTAGCTTCTTTCCAGAGGTCAGAGAAGGAGGTGGCCCCCTCCCTGACCTTAGCTTAGACCCATCCCTGCTCGGCACAATGCGCCTCCTTCCAGCTAGTGACCTGAGTGCTCCCTCCTGCCAGTGAGGTGTCCGGGACTTACCTAGGACCACATCAACACTGGCTCCCTCTAAGGTGTCAGGTAGGTAAGAAGCACCTGTGCAGGCTCCACAGCCCAAGAAGCAGATGGTGCAGCACCGGGCTGCGACTTGGCAGTCCTACTGGCTCTAGCTACCCTCCTGTGGTACTTCCTTTTAGGAACCAGGCAGTGATGCCCGCGATGCTGTGATGTCACCCGGGAGGTTATTATTGCCTTAATAATAACGAGAAGCCAGGAACCCAAGAAAGAACCTCATTCACATGCACCCAGGCTCCTCCTCCAGGAAACCAGAGCCATCTGAATGGCAGGATGTCCTTCTGGGAAGCCATGTGGGAAGGCGACTGGAGAAGGGACATCTGGAGGCACAGGGCCGTGAGAGGGGCTGTGCCTTTCCCCTTCCTCTCGGGGTGAATATGCCAAGTTTGTTTACAGCTCGGGGACCCGGCCAGCCCCGCTACTAGGGACGGCAGTGGCGACACCTCCTCGCAGGACCCTGACCCTGGTGCTGCTGGAGCCAGAGGGACCTCGGGAGGCGGGAGGCTGGGTCTCTCCCCCTCTGCACAAGTGCTTCCGACGAGGCCCTAACGAAGTGTCTGGTTGGGAAAGTAAACAGAAAGAAGACAAATAAACAAAGATGCCCACAGGCAATTACAGGGAGGAAGTCATCTTCGGGTGCAAGTCGCTCCGCTGATGGACAGCAGGCCTGCTTTGCTCAGCGCCCCGGGAACACTTCCGGGTGGGGGGCGCCCAACAACTTGGAGCTTGGCGAGGAGAGACCCCGACGGACGGGCGGGCGGGGGGGCGGGGGCGGGAGGGCCACCGCCGGCCGCCGGGCTGTGCTTTCTTTCCTCTCCCGCCCCTCACCCGCCCCGCCCCCGCCCCGCGCAAGTCGCTCCAGGAACGGGGACCCTCCCTCCCCAGGCTCGGCCCCGCGCTGACCCGGCGGCCGCGCGCCCCGAGCGCAGGCCCGTCCTGGCGCCCGGAGCCGCCTGCGCGCCCCCAGGTGGGTCTGGGCCGCCCCCGGCGCGCGGCCGCCGGCCCGGGGCGGGGTCTCGGCGGCGGGAGGAGCGGCGGGAGGAGGAGGAGCTCGGAGGGGCGGGCGCCGCGCGGGGGAGGGGTCGCCGCCGCCACCGCCGCCGCCGCCGCCGGGATCGTCAGGCCGGAGCCGCGGGCCGAGCGGGCGGCGGGAGGCTCGGCGGCGGAGGCTCGCGGCGCCCGGGCCGGCGGGGTCCGGCCGGGCCGGCAGCGTCCGCCGAGCGGCGGGAAGAGGGAGCGGCGCAGACAAAGAGCGGCGCCTGGGCGGGCGCGGCCGCCACCCGGGACCCGCGCCGCTGCCCTCCGGCCTCGGCGCGCGGCGAGGTAAGCGCGGCCGGCGGGCGGCGGGCGGGGGCTGCAAACTTGGGCCGCTCGGCGGAGTTGGAGCGCGGCCGGCTGGCGAGCGGCGGGGCGGGGCCCCTCGGGCGGGCCTGGGGGACCGATCTCCCCGCGCCCCTCCGTGCCCTCGGCACCGCCGCGGCCTGGCCCCGGGGCCGCGGGCTGCCGGCACCTCCCGACTCCGCACCTTACCCCCGCGGCCCGCGGCCCACCCTCCGGGGCGGGGGCGCCGCCAAGGGCGAGGATGGGGGCCGGGGCCTGGGCGGCGGGTTCCCGGGATCGGGGACCCCCGGGCGCGGGGGCAGCGCCGGGCCTGCGGGCTGGCGGCGGCCCGGAGCCGGGGGCCTGGCCGGGACCGTGCCGGGGCCGGGGGCGCGGGGCGCGGGTCGCGTGTTCTCCGGAAGAACCGCCGGCGCCGCGGGCCCAGCGCCGGGACGGGGAGGCCGAGCGCGGCCCGCGGAACTTGCGGCGCCGGGGGTGGGGGTGGGGGTGTGTGGGGGTGGGGGTGTGTGGGGGCTGAGGGAGTAGGCGGGTGGGGGCTGCTGCCCAGCGCGAAGGGGCTCGGGCGCTGCGCGCTGCCCCCATGCGCAGGCTCAGCCCAGAACAAAGTTTCTCATTGAGCCTGCCCTCGCGCTTTATCCTGGGCCATCTCACCTCCGAGTGGTTCTGGGAGAAACTGGTGACTTTTAAGACATTCACTGCAACTCCCGGGTTTGAGCAGCTCGCGTGACATTGGAGGGGGGAGGGGGTTAATTTGCAAAACGCTTGAATTTGTAGACAAAAAGCGATCGCATTGGAGCCTCTGCGAGGGATGCCGGGGGTCACCGGCGGGTGAACATCAGGTGTCTGACTTCCTTGTAACACCTGCAGGGACAAAGCGGGAGCCTGTGCGGAGTCGGCGCCTGTCTCTTTAAGACACTTCAGCGGGCAGCTCCCCCTGATTTGGCTTGTTAATTTTGCTAACAGGTTGGGGTGAGCGGGAGTGCCGGGCGGAGGAGCCGAACCCCTGGTGCAGGCGTTGACCCAAAAGGAAACGACCCAAAAGGAAACGACTGAGGGCGGCCCGTGGGCGTGGCTGGTCCTGGGCGCCCAGGTCGCCCAGGTAGGGGAGGCCCTTCCTGGTCCAGGGCCAGCCTGGCTCCTCCCCTGCTTCTCAGAAGGGATGTTGGCACAAAGGGGAGTAACTTGGGGTGTCCTCATAGCACGGCATTTGGTGTCCTTATCAAACCTTAAAATGACTGAAAATAAAATTCACCCGGGTTGCTGTAACTTATCACAACAGATCTAAACTTGACTCCTGAACACGCCCTGTGTTCCTGGTGAGCTGGTAAGTTAGTAACAGTGCAGGCACCTGTGGCCGTGTGTGAAGAGAACGGCAGGCAGCGGACATGTGGGAGAGAGGGACTTACTGTGGAGACTGGGCGGGAGGTGCAGTTTTTAGGTTTTTGGGAAGGATTTCCCAGGAACAGGTGCTGGTTGGTGAAGGAGTGGCTACCAGGGGAAGTCCGCCTCACAGTTTCTCTCCTGGAGGTTGCTTAGGTGTAGTTGTGATGGAAGAAAGTGGTGAGATGCCAGTGGTCTTCTGGCTGCAGCTTGAGGCCGGAGTGGAGAACTTTAAGCTGTGCGAGCTTCGGGAGGCGCTGCCGGGCCCCAGCTCTCAGCTGCCACGTCCACACTCTCCAGGACTGAGCATGGGGCAGAGGATGAAATTGGTGGCCCGTCGCCGCCCTGAGAGTTGACCGCTGCATCACACCTGCTGCTCCCTGTGGAGGAACTGGCGGGGCTGGGTTAAGGTGCATTCCAGGTAGCTGTGCTCAGTGTTCAGGCTTTGAGTTCTGTTTTATTACATGCTACACACTTACATTGTCTCCATCCTGCTCCCTTGGCCCCCGCCACATTCCCAGCCTCTGTCATGTGCATTGGGGGATTACCAGGGTTTTCCAGCAAACACACCGTATTTGAGAAATGTGCTAACATCCGCATTAAATACACCAGAAACCTTGCATTTGTGCAAACTGGATAACCTTTTAAAATATCCCAAAGACTCCCTGACGGCCTGGAATGGCCTGCACCCCTGGCGAGGTGAGGCTGTCCCGGGACACACCTGCTCTGAGCTGCCCAGACTACCGTGCAGTGTGCGCTGGGGACGGGGCTGTGGACACCATCTCTGCCTTAAGAAGTGAGGCCGACTGGTTGAAAAGCTGGAGATTGCCTGCTGGGACTGGGAGGGCAGTGGACAATGTTTGGGAAAACTGCTAAGCTAACTTTTTTTCACAAATGAACTGGAAACTCCCCAGAACTTACCCGAGAGGCTTAGGAAATTAGTTTCCCATGGGGAGGGATTGCAAATGGGGCTTCCAAATTGTTTCTCTTTCCTTCCATGAGTGATGGAAACCCTTCAAGGGGTTTTCAAAGGGCCGAAGCTAAAAATGATGTCACGCAGCATGTCGTTGAGTGCTCAAGTTAAGGCAACTTAAAAGGAGGTCAAGACAGGCTTTGAACGGGTTATCAAAAGTATGCAGCTGAAGTAAAAATAGTTTCTTATTTCTTTAGGCCACTTTAGTAAAACAGTTTAAAGAATTGGATTGGTTCGACCCTTATGGCTCAGTGGTTGATCGTTGACCCATGCACGAAGAGGTCTCGGGTTCGATTCCCGGGCAGGGCACGTACCCTGGTTGCGGGTTTAACCCCCAGAAGTGAGTGTGCAGGAGGCAGCTGATAATTGTTTCTCATGGGTGTTTCTATCTCTCCCTTCCTCTCTTTCTAAAAATCAATAAAAATGTTTTTAAAAAAGTAGATTTTTTTCTTTTCCTGCATTTCACTTTGAGCAGATCCTGAAGTATGTATATTATGAAAGTATAATCAACATTAGTAAGTTATACCCTCCCCCAACACACAAACGCTTCTCTGGCACAGTCTGCCCTAAGGTGTCTTTGGGGTTGAGCCTTACACACATGGATTTCCAACAAATGCAGGTTGAACGGATGAAGAGTAAATTCTGAGCCTGTTGAGTTCGTAGGGCTCACCCCGCCGAGAAGGAGTAACACGCGATTTCCAAAACCCTTGACTCTACTCAGAACCTCTCTGACGTGGTGCAAGTCTCTGTCCCCCGGATAGCCAGGCAGTGGGAGAATTTGGTCTGGTGGCCTCTCTATTTGGTAAATCCTCTGTCCAACGAGTCACTTATAGTCCTTAAGCTAAATTTAAAACAACAACAACAACAGGCAAATGAACAAAAGGAAAACAAAGCAAACCCAACTGAATAACCAGCTGGCGGGTTTGCTAAATACTTTTCAGTAGGTGGTCTGTCTGTCTGAGCCAGTGTGGACTGAGACTCTGGGCCAAGCGTTGCTACCCGGGCCTGGCACCTTACTTCATTCTACCATTTGTGTTTTTAATGTTTTTAAGAAAAGAAGCTTCAAGTGCACTCAGAATTTAAGTATTGCAATTTACTTTTGAGATTGTTTTTGGAAAATGGGATGGTTTTGTTGGCCAGTGGTTAGTGAAGATCTAAAATGCCATAGATAAAAATTAAAGGCACTAATGCTTATATGGTAATTTGTAGTTTGCAAGTTGCTTTTTTTCACATATGCCACCATATTTAATATTTGAAGTAATGTGGTAGCATGGGCTCCAGCTCCAGCTCCAGCCTGCCAGCCGGTGATACAGGGACATGAGCTCAGGGGCAGGGCCAAGGATGGCGGATCTTGAACCCGGTGTACGTCCTTTCCTTCGCGCCCGGCGAAGCAGGCAGCAGATAAGGCACACCACAACGGTGTGGCAGAGTGGTTCCGAGGCTGCGGACCTGCTGGCGGGCACTGATGGAGCCCAGCGGTGTGGGCCTCCCGCACTGCCTGTTGGAGATGTGAGCAGATGTTGCCGGCAGCTGGTTCTGCATGTGAGTTGACGGTGAAGATGAGCTGTTTCAGGGCAGCCGACAGGAGCAGTGTCAGAACTGTCCCTGCTTCCTCCTGTCAGCGTGCATGTTGGTGGGCTGGGGCGCCCTCACGGAACGCCACACATGGGAGGAAATGGTCACAGTTCTGGAGGCTGCAGAGTCCAAGACCAGGGTGCTGGCGGGTTCGGTTCTTGGTGAGTCTCTGTTCCTGGCTTGTACACGGTGTCTTCTCGCTGTGTCCTCACAGGCACTTTCTTCCGCAGTGTAATGCCTCTTCCTCTTAGAGGGACACCAGTCCTCTAGGACGAGAGCCCCACCTTGACTGTACTCCTTTGAAGGCCTGTCTCCAAATACAGTTACATTGGGGGTTAGGGCCTCAGCATAGGAATATTGGGGGGACAGTTCAGTTCATAACAGTGTGTAACTTTGTGCTCAAAAACAAGGCTGTTATTTTAGGAAGTCCTATTGCTTCCTTCACTGAGGTCTGACTGCGTATTTCAGGGCACCTGCTGGGGGTGGTGACGGAGCAGTGGGGGTGAGGCTGGAATGGCAGCTCCCTGCTAGTCGGAGAACCTCCACGTAGGGAGGGTGCCCTGGCACTGGCTTCCGCACTCTGGTCAGGTTTTAAGTGGCGTGATGGAGACAGAACAACGTTGACTTAATTCCTCCGTGTGTGTAGGTTCGTCCACAGGCACTTCTTTTGGATTAGGGCAGTGGTCGGCAAACTGCGGCCCGTGAGCCACATGCGGCTCTATGGCCCCTTGAGTGTGGCTCTTCCTCAAAATACTGACTTCTGTGTATGGGCCACGAAGTTTCGATCGCACTGTACGTGCGCGCCCACATGTGGTATTTTGTGGAAGAGCCACACTCAAGGGGCCAAAGAGCTGCATGTGGCTCGCGAGCCGCGGTTTGCCGACCACGGGATTAGGGTCATGATAAAACATCAGATCTCTAGGAAGTGTGGGCTTTGTATGGAAGTGAAGTGTGTCCTGGTCCCGAATGAAGAGAGCAGAGTGAGGGAGGGCTGGTGCGGCCTGGGGCAGAGCGGCCGCTCTGGCCCGCTGGGTGTGGCCTGCAGTCTGCCCAG